TCTTAATTTTTCAGATACGAAACAGAGTCTAAATTTAAAAATAAAAAAAAAACTGTGTTTCTTGTTTTGCCCTAAACAACACAATCGAACAACCTGCCTCATCTTCTCTTCTTCTTGTGTTTTCTTCCTGCGTCTTCTTCCCCTTTCGCGTCTGCTTCCCTTCGCATCTTCATACTCCGACGACGCCGCCCACCCCAACACCGATGTCGCAGCGCCTTTGCAACGCCGACGCCGCTGCACCTTTGCATCTGCCTTAAACTCGAAAATCAAAAATCGAAAACAGGTTCGTTCTCTCTTCTGAAAATCGATTGCTCTTCTTTGTTTCTTCCTTCTTTCCCCCCAAATTCGAAAATCAAAAATCGAAATCAGTTCTTATGTTATGCTAATCAGTTTCTGATTTGTTCAATCATAATCTATATTTGATGTTATGCTCGATTTTGATGGTATACGATCGAATTTGAATGTGTTCAATGGATATGATGAAATGTTGCTGTTGAATTTTTGATGTTATGCTTGATTTTGTATATTCAATTTTTTATGTTCAATGTTTTTCTGTTCGCTTATTATGTTGAAATGTTGTTGCAGAAATCATATTTGTGTTTGATGTTATAGTGAAATCATATATGTTCTTGTTGTTATCATGAAATACGCATTAGTTTTGCTAATTGTGTATCTGTTTTGTTGAAGTAGTTGTTGAAAATGTGTATTTGCAATGCTTAACTTGTTGCTAAAACATGCATTTTTTTGTTAATTTGATCAAAGAAATGGGAGAAAAGAAGGATAGGATTAGTTGGAAGGTTGAAGGTGTAGAGAAAACGTTTCTAGAAGCTTGTTTACGTGAAGTTACGGTCAATGGACGGGAAGGGAGTAGTTTGAAAGCACTATCTTGGAGGAATGTAGTTGGAACATTAAAAATTGAACATAACTTTATTGCCGACCAAAAACAAATGAAGAACCGCTATGACTACCTAAAGTCAAAGTTTGGTGCTTTTTTGAAGTTAAAAAACAAAACCGACAATGTGTACGATTCAACAACCAACACCTTCAATCTTTCCAAAGAAGAATGAAAACTAGAATTGAAGGTATTTTGTTTAGTTATAAAAAATATATTATCATGTTTAAATAATAAAATATTTTTTCCAAACAGTCAAACAAACATGTGGATTCTTCAAGACGCACGCCGCTACCGTACCCCGACCTTTGCACACAGTTGTTTGAAGGCACAACTGCGACAAGCATTCATAGTTGGGGGCCAACTTCTACCCTTCCCCGTCCTACTCAAGATTCAAGCCACTATAGTTTGCATGACTTTGACAACGTCGATTGCACTCAACAAGAAACTGTAGGTCTGAGTGATGAGTCCTCTGCTCAATCAAAAAAACAAAAGACTACAGATACGGAAAAAAGTTAAAATAAAAGTAAATATAAGGGTAAAGATTCATCGAATTCAAGATTGCTTGAAAATCGGGGAAGATATTGCAACAGTTGCTAATATATTTGTGGAAAAGCATGCTTCTTCAAATATGGATGCGTGTATGGAAAAGTTGGAGAAGTTAGGATGGGGAATATTTGATCCAAGATATACTACTGTTGTTGCTCTTTTTGGTGAAGATGCGGATAAGAGGCACGTGTGGTTAACCATTGATCCAACTATTTGTGAGAATTGGGTCAAGACTGTTGGAGCACATTATAGAATGTTTCGCTAAGTAGATGTTTTGAATGATTTGATGTTTTTTTTTTCTTTTTTTTTTGGATAAGTATGTTTTGAATGACTTCATGTTTTGAATGATTTGATGGTTTTTTTTGGATAACTAGATGTTTTGACTTGATGTTTTTTATTACTTGATATTTGGTTTGAGCTAGATTTTTATATGACATGTATGACTTGATGTTTTGGATGAATTTTTATGTTATATATTGTTAATATAATTGTTATGTATTTTCAAAATAACATATTGCTTATGGATTCAGATGAAGAAATTGCATTTTTCATTTTACTATGTTGGTATTTGTTGAATCTAGCATCCAATAGAATGGGAAGTGCAATTGATAACGATTCGGAAATGAGTGGTCATCAACATACACAAGAATTGTTACATGGAACTTCTACACAATGTCATGAGTTGATGCGTCTTTCACGTGAAGCGTACGTACTTTTATGCAATCATTTTAGACGAAACAATTGGTTGCAAAGTTGTAGGCATATAAACGTTGAAGAAGAGATGATTATGTTCTTGACAACTATAACACATAATAAATGGTTCAGGATTATCCAACGAAGGTTTCAACACTCCACAGAAACTGTACATAGATGCTTTCATGAGGTGCTAAATGCAATGATGATTTTTACAAAAGAAGTTATAGTGCCAACGAATTTTAATGCAACTGTGAATTCCTCAGAGAGACATCGTAGGCTAAAAGAAATATTTCCTGGAGCAATAGGTGCGTTAGATGGAACTTTTGTACATGCAGTCGTGTCTGTTGGTCAACAAACTCGCTACAGGGGAATAGGAAAAGGTGAATGCTTTCAAAATGTTTTAGGAATTTGTAATTTTGATATGATATTCACATTCGTATGGGCCGGTTGGGAGGGCATAACAGATGATTCGCGAGTTTTGAAAGAAGTTGCATTTAACCCGACTTCAGGCTTTCCGTTCCCTCCTCCAGGTTTGTAATTCTTGTTAAATTTATTCTAAAATACGATTTTAAATTTCTATATAAAATACTTCCTTCCCTCATGTGTATAGATAAATATTACCTTTACGATGCTGCATACACCAACATTCGTGGATTTATGACTCCTTACCGCAACACGAGGTATTGGTTAACCGATTATCGACGGCGACGTGCGTTAACTAAGGAAAAAAAATCAATCATGCACATGCGCAACTCAGAAATGTTATTGAACGTGCTTACGGTGTTTTGAAGGCGAGATTCTCAATCCCAAAGCGAATGACTCCTTTTCCTTTTTTAGTGCAAAGAGATATATTCGTTGCTTGTTTTGCAGTTCCCAATTTCATAAGGAAATGCGATATTCATGATGAGTTATTTATGGCGTTCGAGGAGAACAATGGTCAAGCACAAAGGCGAGAGAATGATGGCCAAAACGTACACGATATGGAATGAGGTTCACAAGGAAATGAATACATGAACAATTTGCGTGACCAAATTGCGAATCAATTAGGGTCAAATTAAATTTATAGGAATTTATTTGGATTTTAGTATGATTTTGTGGATTTAAAAATATTTATGTTTGATTTGGATTTGTGTTTAATTTTGATTTATGCTAAATTTGGATTTTATATGGTGTTTATATTTTTTTTTAATATGTATTTATGAAATTTATTAGGTTATTTTCTAAACAAACACTTGAATTCAATAAAAAAATAAAATAGAATGATAAAATGGTCATTTTAATAATTCAGCACAGCAATTCAGAGGTCCCAACCAAACAACATGTTAAACATTCAACTCTTAAAATTTCAGATCTTCTTCGAAATTCGGATCTCTTAAAAAATCAGATCTTAAAAATCCAGATCCTGCCAAACAGCCATAAGATTGTCTAGATTGCGACGTGAAGGGGCTGAAAAGAGGGTAATGTGCTGTCTGTTTTTTCGAAGCGAAAATTCATGAAGTCTGCGGACCACATCTGCAATCCTCTGTAGCAGAAGAGGTGGAACAAACAGCTGCAACCCATAATAAAAAGCATGTTTGTTTTTTGACATCTGCAGTAAACTGAAATTTAAATAAACTAATTTTATAAACTGAAAATAGTTATCAACACCAAAATTTTAATAATTCTAGTCTTAAAACATTGAAAGAGTACTAAAAAGAACATGTAAAAAAACAAAAATATAAAAGAAGCTAACAGCTTTATTCTAGAAAAAAACTAATTTTAAAAAACATAAAAAAGAAAATAATAAAAAAAATTAAGAAAGTATTGCAAACGATGTCTATAAAGTTCGTAAAAAATTACACACGTTAAAAAAGATGAAACTGAAACTAAAAATATTATTAACAGAAACGGTAAAAAAATTAAAAAAATCAAAGTTTTTTTTTTTTTTTAAATCAAGTTAAAAAAATTTGTGGAACTATAATAAGAAATTGTATCAAATCCGTAAATAAAAGTTAAAAAAAAAAGTTTAAAAAAATAAGTTATACCAAAATTCTAAAAAAAACACTTCAAAAAATTCAAAGCTGAAGAGGTTTGAAGAGGCAAGTCAAGTGCTGTGCCACGCAGCACACGCACAGAGGTTTTGCAGTCTGAAGTCTTTCAAAAAACAAACTGCTGCGAGAGGGAAAGTGCTGCGCCGTGCAGCAGAAAGTGGTTTGAAGATGTTTTTTTAAAAAAAACAAACACCACCTAACAGAAGACAAAAATAAAAGAGAAATGAATTTCTAAAAGTTTTATTAAACCATCTTAAGACATCCCAAAAATGGAAAATATAAGTAATGGAACGCGAAGCTGACAAAATACAACTCAAGAAAAGACACTGCATTATATAGCTGTCCGAGATAATAAAAACATTTAAGTATTGGAAGAGAGATCATTTGAACTTCTAGGAAAATGTAACGTTTTCATGGAAGAGATTATTTGAACTTCTAGGAACTGTAGCCCTAGTCCATGCCCCTTCATTCACTTCTCTAATTAAGAATTCAGGAACGAAGGTGTGGCTCTTCAATACCAATAATATAAGCGACTCCTATGCGTGTGTGTGTGTGTTTTCTAGCACCAAGAACTGTGGAAGTCTGAGGTATACACGAATTTCTCTTAAGGGTCAGCTTCCACTCTTTGATCTTTATCTTGTTTTCTTTGTTGTTTGGGTTTGCACTAGAAACTGCATATTCTGATTAAAAGACGAATCGCATGCATACAGCATACAGCCTTAGTTTCCAATATTCACTTAGTTTCTTGGTTACTTACATTGTTTATAACTGCTTGTGTATTGTTACTTGGTTTTTGAAGAATCTAAGGCATACACCGAAGTGTGAAAAGGATCATGGCCACAGATACCGATAAGAAGAAACCTGAAAACAAGGGTGAAAAATTGATTCATGAGGTGTTTTCTTGGTCACTTGACGATGTGCTTAACAGAAATTTCTACAAAGGGAAGGTTTGTAAAAAAATTCTCACAAGCTACGTACTCAATCTCACAGTTTAGATGACTGAACTTCTTTAAACAGTTTAGGGACTAAAAACACGTTCTTTATAAGTTTGAACAGCCACTGCATAAAAAAATCTTTTGCTTCTTATTATTGTTCGAATATCCTTGCATTGCATGCACATCACTGAACTTCCATGAATTGAACAGGTAGCAGAGATTCCCAAGACGTTTCCATCTGTAAGAGACTATACAAAGTCATTTGTCTATCCGCTTTATGAGGAGACACATGCGGACTTGCTGTCAAAGATGCTAGGAGTCAACCGTGCTCCCACAGCGGAAATAATTAAAGTTAAAAAGTCTAAAGATTTTAGGCTACCCAAAGCCTTATTGTACACCATTGTGCTAAAGAGACGTCAAGGATTCTATGCACCTGAGGTTGGAGATCTTATTGCTTTGACCGATGTGAACCCAAAATCTGTTGATGATCTTAAGAGGCCAAACAAGCCTTACCTCATTGCTTTAGTGCAAAACATGAAGGCCAACAAATCACATTATCAACTTTTTGTTTTATCATCGAAACCAATAATTCCAGAAGTTGTTGAAATGGATATTCGGAAAGATGTAACAAGTTATACTAGAATGAATGTAAACCATTTTGTTGTTTATCTTACAAACTTGACAACAAATATCCGTATTTCTCAAGCCCTTCATGCGGAGCTAGAAGGGGTGAGAATGAAGATCATCAAAAAATTACTGCGAGCTGATTCTTCTGTAAGAATGAAACGGACATTTTATTTGTGTGCTCAACAAGATTTTACTTTGTATGGGGTTACCATGTACTCTAAGTCTAAGCAATTACTTTTTGTAACAGGTTGAAGAAAGTGGCCTTGAATATTGTTCTATTGATACAACTGAAGACCTGACTTTATTGAAGATTAAAAAAATTCTGAAATCATTTCAGCTTGATAGTTCACAAGAAGCTGCTGTTTTGAGCTGCATTGCTGCAAGAAAACATCGTGATCAAAATACAATTAAGTTAATATGGGGGCCTCCTGGAACTGGCAAGACAAAAACTATTGGTTCTTTATTGTTTATGTTTCTGCTGATGAAATGCAGAACCCTCACTTGTGCTCCTACGAATATTGCAGTTGTAGGAGTTACCAAACGGGTTATGAGCTTAGTGAGAGACTTTTTGAGATATGGCACTTATGGTTTAGGAGATATAGTTTTATTTGGGAATGGAGAAAGAATGAAGATCGATGATTTCAAAGACCTTTCAGAAATATTCTTAGAGTTTCGTGTCAAGATTCTTGCTGATTGTTTAGCTCCACGTTCAGGATGGAAAGGTAGCAGGGAGTGGATGATTCGTTTCCTTGAAGATCCTGATCAACAGTATCGCATGTACTTGAGGGAAAATGTACAATGTGATGAAAAGGAGAGTGATAGTAGTGATACTGATGAGAAAGCTCATAGCGAAGAAGATGAAGATGAAGATGAGGAATATTTGATTCCTGATCAAAAAGAGAAATCAGAGGACTCACTGTTAAAGAATGCACTGACAAAGAATAACTGGAAGACCCTCATTGTAAGTACCTTGAAAGGGAACAAGAAATTGTCAACTAGTGAGACCACACACGAGGATGCAAATGAGGGTCCTTTAAAGCAAAAATCAGACAAGAAGAATTTTCAAGAAAATATTCTAACTTTCGAGCAGTTTGTGACAAATGGGTTCACTTTTCTTGGAAATCATCTTATATATTGTCTTGAGAGCTTATACACACATATGCCGACATCTATTATTTCCCTTGATGAAGCAAAACAAATGGTAGGACTTGTTCGTTCCCTTCAGAGTCTTGGAGATTCATTGAAACAAACAATTGCTAGAAATGTAGACTTAAAAGAAGCCTTGAATGGTTTAGATAATTCTAGGACAGGAGGCATTAGTAATTTACATGCTTGCAGGATTGCAAGTCTTCAGATACTCAAATGCCTTCAAAACACGCTATGTTTTCCAGACTTCAAGGATGAATTTGAAACTCGAAGATTTTGTTTGGCGAATTCTTGTTTGATATTTTGCACAGCATCAAGCTCCATCAACTTGCATACAGAAGGAATGAGTCCTTTGGAGTTTCTTGTGATTGATGAAGCTGCTCAATTAAAGGAATGTGAATCTCTTATACCTTTGCAGCTTGTTTGTGCTCGCCATGCAATCCTGGTTGGGGATGAAAGACAACTCCCTGCCATGGTGCAAAGCAAGGTTGAACAATGTTATGCCTTCTGTATATTTATGTGTTGGTGTGAAGCGTGATACTCTACTAATAATTTGTTACACTGTTTCAACAGATACGTGAGGAGGCTGAATTCGGTAGGAGCTTATTCGAGAGGCTTGTATCACTAGGGCATAAGAAACACCTTCTTAATGTTCAATACAGGATGCATCCTTCCATAAGCCAGTTCCCAAATAAGAAGTTTTATGCAAAACAAATCTTGGATGGTATGAATGTCAAGAGGAGCACTTATGGGAAGAGTTTTTTGCAAGGAAGTATATAGGGGTCCTACTCTTTTATAAATGTAACTTCTGCCAAGGAGGAGTTTGATAAGAGTCATAGCATGAAAAATCTCATGGAAGTGGCTATAATTTCTGAAATTATTTCAAGTCTCTATAAAGGTACATGTTTCTCTCTTTTTCATCTCTCATCCTTAGTCAATAACTCAACTTTTATCGATATCATCACAGAATCTGTTGCAAGAAAACGAAGGGTAAGTGTTGGTTGCATATCACCATATAAGGCTCAAGTAAATGCAATACTGGAAAAACTTGGCAATAAGTATATATGGATTCTGAAGATTACTTCTCTGTGAATGTTCGATCTGTTGATGGATTTCAAGGGAGTGAGGAGGATGTAATTATTATATCCACAGTGAGATGTAATGGTAGAGGTTCTGTTGGTTTTCTTTCAAATCATCAAAGAACAAATGTGGCATTAACTCGAGCCAGGTAACAAACTGATTACTTATCTGATTTATCTTTTAATTTGTTATCTTCGTTTCTCCATAGTTGCATGATCTTTTCATGTATCACATATGAGCTTTATACAGATACTGCCTGTGGATTTTGGGGAATGGATCAACCTTGCTAAATAGTGGCTCTATCTGGAGAGATTTGATTGTTGATGCTAAGGATCGTGGCTGTTTTCACAATGTTAGTGAAGACAAAAACTTGGCTCAAGCTGCCATGGGTGCTTTGATTGAGCTTCGTCAACTTGATAGCTTGTTCAATATGGATTCATTCCTTTTTAATGACACTAAATGGCAGGTAAGCTCACAGGACTCTTGATACTATTGTCACTAAGAATTGTGATTTGCTATTTTGTGCACATGGTGATATTGTTTTATTGACATTTGATAGGTAAAGTTTAATGACACGTTTTTGGAGACAATTGCAAGTTTTACTAACACTAAGATTTGTAAGGAAGTAGTTACTATTCTGCTTAAGCTATCTAGTGGCTGGCGAAAAGATGGAACCAATAAAGTGAGCCTAGAAGGAACAAGTACGCTTCTGGAGGTGTATGAAGTAACACAAGACTTGTGTTTGATTTGGGCTGTAGACATTGTAGTACAAAATTCTCTTTGCATCCAGGTACTAACGATCTGGGATGTTTTGCCAGCCACCAAGATTGAACAATTGGCAAAGATATTAGTGGAAAAGGTATATGGGAATTATACTGTAAACATGATGACCCGCTGCAAGGAAAAACGTGTTGAAGGGTATGTATGGATTCCACTTCTTTGTTTCTATATACAGTCATTGATCATAATTTATGGTTAGAATACTATTTTGGAAACAGAACTTATTGTTTTGAAAACATGAATAGGAACCTTACGCTTCCTGTTACATGGCCTACGAATTCGGACACTGATCAAAGCTGGTCCTTGTCAAATCAATTAGCTGCATTGAGCTTGAGGAACCAACCCAAGTCATCATCATCATCATCAAGAGCTTCAAGTGTCTGGTTAGTTTTTGGACCATGTATTTGGTGGCTATTTAAGCTAGTATAAGTCTTTTGTTTGGTAAACTAAGGGGGTCTGTAATTTAAAATTCAACAGGGATGGTGATACAAGATCTCGTGGAAGAGGAAGTAGGTGGTGAAAGAAATCTTTTGATTCTCCTTAGGAACTGAATCTAAAGAATGTGATCATTATATTGTCGCACGTTGGGTGATGGATATGGTTTTTTAGAATCCTTGACAACACTTTTTTTGCCGTAAAAGACTGGTTGGTTCATTTTGTGTTGTTTGAATGTATGTTGGTATTCTTGCATTTAGCCTTAAGAATCATATTAAAGTACTACTATGTGCCACTTTCAAAGAAAGCTAGAGTACAATATTGTCGAAATATGCCATCTAATATGATAAGTTCTGCTTAGTTCAAAGGCTATATTGGCTTTCCAGCAATATAGATCTAATTTGGTTACATCGGGTCTAAAAAGGGTACTAGATCTAAAATGGTTGTGTGAGGTCTAAAAAGGATTTGTTCTTGAATTGCAATTGCTTCATTGTTGAAGGCCAATCTTGGCAAACCTTTATTCCTTTGTAGCTTAAAGTAGGGATGTGCGTTTTCGAACCGAAATCCGGGCCGGACCGACCCGAATTACGACCAAATAAGTTATTTGGGTCGGTTCTCGGGTATCTGTTTTTGCCCAATTCGAGTTTCGGGTTATTCGGTCCGGGTTACCCGAATAAAGGTTTAATCAGGCCAAAAAGACCGACCCGAAAAGTGAATAGTCACTTGAACCGAATAACCCAAATAAACTGAAATGACCCGAATAACCCAAATAAACCGAAATGACCCGAATAACCCAAATAAACCGAAATGACCCGAATAACCCAAATAAGGAAATTCTATATTTAGTTTAAGAAAAAAAATATTAAATTAATATTTTTTTTGAACTAGATATAGAATTTCCTTATTTGGGTTATTCGGGTCATTTCGGTTTATTTGGGTTATTCGGGTCATTTCGGTTTATTTGGGTTATTCGGTTCAAAAACGTAGTGTAAATGTTTATTTGGGTTATTTCGGTCCTATCGGGTTAATAACCGAACCGAAACCTGTATTACCCGAACCGAACCGGTTCGTATTAGTTTAATCGGTCCGGGTTTCGATTCCCATTTTTCAACCAATTTGGGTTTCGGGTTATTCGGGTTCGGGTCGGTTATGGCCCGAAGCACATCCCTAGCTTAAAGTGAATGCCATTTTAAGGAATAGAAATAGCATATTATAAATTAAGACATCTTGCTCTTCCATTTTTGGATCGAAGTTTCTCGGGTTTCAACCATTTATCACCAAATCACCACTATAGGTCATTGTAATCTCTTGGATCAAGCTCTATAAACATTGCAATATTTTAGTGGATTGGTTCTCGGCTTCCTTTGTCCGTGTAGTAAACAAAGAAGGTAAGGTTGCACTAAAATGAAAAAACTCTAATGCATCAAACAACCTAGAATGCGAATCACAAGAACAATATTAGTTCAAGCAAAACAATACTAATATATCAAACAACAATTAACTACATGCAATGAAAATTACTAAGCAAAACAGTAAATCAGAGAGACACAAAGATTTACGTGCAAAACCCAAATCAAGAAAAACCCACGAGCGGATGAAGCCGAGAACCAATGAGCTATAATGATGATTTGGTGATAAAGGGTTGAAACTAGGGGTGGCAAATCGGGCCATCGTGTCATGTTTTTGTCTGACACGACACGACACGACACGATGTCGTGTTTTTTTTAACTAACACGAAAACGAACCGATTAAAAAACGACAAACACGACACGACAAAGATAACATAAAATAAAAATTATTTTATTTAATTAATATTTAATCATATGTAATACGACAAACACGACAAACACGAAAAACACGACATACAAATGCTTAATCAATTTCGTGTCGAATTTTGAACACGAACACGACACGACACGACATCGTGTATTTTACACTTGACACGAACACGACATGAACACGAATTCGAATTTCAGTTTCGTCACAATTTCGTTTCGTGTCGTGTATTTTTGTCGTGTCGTGTCATCAATTGTCACTCCTAGTTGAAACCCTAGAAATGTCGATCCAAAAAGGGAAGAGGAAGAAGTCTCGATTTATCGTCTGGTCTTCTAGAAAATGGCGCGCTTGCTTTAAGCTACAAAGGAATAAAGGTTTGCCAAGATTAGCAAATATGGCCCTTTAACAATGAAGCAATTGCATTCCAAGAACAAGTCCTTTTTAGACATGATACACCCATATTTTAGACTTACCTCCCCCTCTGGCACATATCACAATATTGTTCGATTTGGACCACTCGGCACGAGGCCTTCCCAGGGGGTCACCCATCCCGGTACTACTCTCGCCCGAGCATGCTTAACTGCATAATTCTTATGGGATCTGCTGCCCTCACGGCTTTAAAACGTGTTGTGATAGGGAAGGTATCCACACCCCTTATAAGGAATGTTTAGTTCTCCTTCCCATTCGATGTGAGATCAGGTGTAACCCACCTTGGTTCCCTTTTTAGATCCGATGCAACTAAATGAGACATGGTGTAACACCCCGTTTATTGAATAAATAAATAAACAAATTAATGAACGAATAGTAGCCCTAAAATCAATAATTATATAACAAGGATTGGTCTCGAGGAGTTAACTGTCACAATTTTAGAAGTCAGGGGTTAAAAGTGTAAGTTTCGGATTGGTTTTGTAAATATTTATGAATGCAGTGACTACTTGGTAACTTTTGGGACTTCATTTGAAGAGATTTTGGAGACTAAGGGGCTGTTTAGTAAATTATGGATCAAATTTGAGAGGAATTATGGAAGTTGGGGTGTATTTGGTAAATATTGGAGCTAAAATGGAAACATTTCGGAGAGGAGGGATTGATTATGTCATTATGGACAGATGTTTCTCGAGGCTGGGTTTATAACCCGTCATCACCTGTCAAACCCTAACCCTAATCGTTTCCTCCTGGCCTCCACCCCTTGCCTGCTAAAGCTGGAACACCCATCGTCAACTGCCAACGACAGAGACCACCAGAAGCCGCCGTTCTTCTCCTTCTCCTTCTTCATCCATCACCGCCGCCCAGCTCAACCGCCACCATCTTGGCCGACCGGCGACGTTCCTTTTCCCCTCTTCGACAGAAAGAGAGCGAGGCAGTCGGAAGAAAGAAGTATCTGGTTGTCGCACCACCGTCTTCATCATGGTGGCCTGATGCAGTGAAGCCGAGCAACCACCACCCTACTTCTGTCGTTGTTGTCTTTTCCGGCGAGAAATGGAGAGGCCGAGTAAGGGAATCAAAGCAGGTAGTGGCAAGATGTTGTTGCATTCGTTTCGCCAGCAAGGAAATGATTTCGGTTGTTTCTTCCCTTTCTTTTGTGCGTGGAACCGACGACAACCATCAAGTTGTCGCCGCTCACCACCGCTGTTAAGTGATGGTGTGTGTGTGTGTTAGTTTCAGCCAACTGTTTGGTGTTAATATGTTTTGTGTGTGGTTTCTTTGGCCGGAAAACCAAGAAGGCCACCACCACCACCGTGAGGTGGTGGCTGCCACCATATGTATCACACCCCCGAACCAGACGGCGGAAACGTCCGAGGGCTCGCGTGACTTAAATTGAAATATCATCACAATGAATATACATGAAACATAACACATTATCACCAAACATTACATAGTACAACTGGCATTGTTTACATCAAGTACATGGTTTACATTACATGATCCCAAAATATAAAGTGTTTGATGATTAGCAACTACAAAACAAACTTTCAACACACTAGATGCTTCCTCGTTCTAACGGTTACCTGAGAATACAAGTTATTTTGAAAACGGTCAACATATATAATGTTGGTGAGTTCATAAGTATGTTTGATGTAAAATAGTTTATGCCGTTTGTAAAACCCAGAAAATCCGATATTTTCTGTAATAAGACTTTTCACGAAAATGTTGTGATGATCCTGTAAGTATATGAGTGAATGATTTCAAAACGTGTATAAATGAGAAGTTTTGCATTATGGTTATTGAAAGTACAAGTGAATAAGATTGGTTTCCCCGGAAAACCCGATGTTTTCCGATAAAATAGTATGATTGTTTTGTATTATTGTATTGTCACAGCGAATGAATATGATTTCCCATGATTACTTAGATGGTATTGGATCTCTATGTGAGTCGTTATAACCATGCATGATAATGACTAGTTCGTCTGTCTTGGCATTCTAGTGAACGCCGGAATTGATCTTAAGATTTTGTCACCCTAGACTGGCCGAGTCTAACTGTAGCGAACAGCTTAGGTGTGGGGGAGTCACCCCCGTATAGATCTATACACAAACTCTTGCTCTCCCTCCAGGAGACTTTGATTATAACTACTGACTACGACCGACACTTATTGGTGTCGCCCGTTATTACTCACTTAATCCAAATGAATTTGATTAACCTTGATTAACGACCTGATTTTGTTTACTTGAATAGAAGGTAAGCCTAACAGACGAGGAGAAGAGGACTACTAGGCCCTACTAATTACATATGTTATTTAAGGCTGTCGAGTATACGAAAGACGCGTTGGCCCATTTCGCATTTGATTTATTTGGACCTTACTAGCAATGCTAATGAGCCACCGAGGCCCAATAGCATGTAAAAGCCATTGAGGGTCCCTTAAGCATGTAATTGGGTCACAGGAGGCCCAATAACATGTATTATTTATGTTAGGCCCAAAAGTCATGTTAATGGGTCACGCAGGCCCAATAATCATGATTAGAATCTTTCAAGCCCAACAGTTAGAATGTTTACTTGTTTTGTATAGTATTAGTGTTGCGAAGTTGTTTAATCGATACGTCGTAATAATCACCAAATTGTTTTATAACGATTCATAGATTTATAAAAATAGATATTTTTCTATTTAAACCCATAAGTTATAAAGTTTTGTATAAAAATAGATCCTTGTAGAAACCGTGAATGACATCTTTTCCCCATCTTTTGTTTATTTATCAAAAATAGTCCAATAACAAATTTTATGTTGTAGTATGTTTATTATAAACTTTGTATGGTAGTTTATCTTGACATGTTAAGTGAAATATATCCTAGATCACATATTTTTCCTTCTTGAACTATAGATATCGAAATATCTTTCATTTTTAGCACATATTTACCACATAAACACAAGAAATCACACATAACATACAAATACACATAGATCTTCACATTTTACTTGTATTCTCCCCCATAAATCATATGAAAACCGAAAATAGAGGGGTATGAACTCACCTTGGGTTTGTGGGTTCGGTTTTGAAGAGAGAGATGGAAAGATGAAGTGATTTTTTGGCCCTAGCAACTTCCTTGAGTAGATTTCGAACCCAAGAAGATTTCTAAGAATATAAATACCAAAAACTTTGTTTAAAGGAATGATCTAACAAGAGAGTGAAGTTATGAAGCTTGGATGTGTAAAGACTTACCAACGATTGACAACACTTGATGAAGACTCTTGAATCCAAGCCAAATTTTCGAGAATTCCTTGAAGGAAGGAAGGAGATGGCCTTAGAGAGAAATGGAGAGAATTTTTTTGTGTGTATTGTGTGTGTGTGGTGTGTCTTCGGCCGAAACAAGAAGAAAGGAGGGAGAAGAGAGAGGGTGAGGTGATAGGTGCATGGATGTATGTGATATTTGCATGGTTACATGGGGGATAATGTGGAGGTGGCACTCCAAGTCAACTCTCCCCTTAATCTCTTATTTTATTGTTTTTTTTTTTGTTTTATGCTTGGGCCGAAATGGGCTAAGGAAGGAGAAAGGAATCACTTTGGCCCATTCTTGCCTTGGCTCGAGTTCATGAGGCCCATAAGGAAAACTTACGGCCCATTGGGCCCTTAGGGTAGCTCACGGCCCAACTTTTGTATAAAAGAATTGATTTATGGCCCATTAGGCTCAGTGGATTTGTTATGGCCCAATAAGGCCCATTAAAGATAAACTAGTCCATTTTAGGCTTATAAGGCCCAAAAAGGTTAAGTCTCATGAGAATGGGTCCAATGAGAGCCCATTTAAGAGTTCTAAGCCCAAAATAGTCAAGTTGGAAGTTTATTGGCCCATTAGGCCCAATAAAGAAATCCTAGTCCATATTGGACTTAAACCGGGATTTCTAGGGTTTCCAACCTTTTGTTGACTATTTGAGTGTTTGTATAGAGTGTTTGATGGAATTTTGTTGTCATTGAATAAGCATCATATATGCTTTCAAGTTTTAGTTACAATGTTATCCTTGTTAATTGTTTACAAAGCATCAGAATTCCTAGTTGTGACATCATCCCCCCGTTAGAGGAAATTTCGTCCCGAAATTCTTTTTGAAGCTAGATTTGAGAATGCGAGAATAGGTGAGGGTACTTCTGCTTCATCTGGTCTTCGCGTTCCCATGTGAATTCCGGTCCATGTTTCGCGTTCCACCCAACTTTCACAATCGGAGTGCGACTTTGCTTAGTACGCTTCACTTCCCTGTCCATGATTTCAACTGGTTCCTCGATGAACAGGAGATTTTCGTTGATTTCGATTTCTTCCAATGGAATGACGAGAGTTTCGTCGGATAGGCACTTCGTCAAATTGGAAACATGGAACACGGGGTGTACACTGCTAAGTTCAGCAGGTAGTTGTAGTCTATAAGCCACTGGACCGATTCGGGCAAGGATCTCGAATGGTCCAATGTACCGTGGGTTTAGTTTTCCCCGTTTCCCAAAACAAATCACCCCTTTCCAGGGAGAGACTTTTAACAACACCCGATCCCCGACTTGGAATTCCAAGGGCTTTCGCCTTTCATTAGCGTAGCTCTTCTGTCGGTCTCGTGATGCTTGAAGTCGAGCTTTGATTTGAATTATCTTCTCTGTCGTTTCGCGTATGATTTCTGGTCCTGTTAATGCATTGCTTGGTGTCTGTTCTCTTGCTAGCTGAGTGTCACCTACCTCAGCCCAACACAACGGTGATCTACATTTACGTCCATATAAGGCTTCAAAAGGAGCAACTTTGATGCTTGAGTGATAGTTGTTGTTGTACGAAAACTCAATTAAAGGCAAGTGGGTATCCCACGACCTTCCAAAGTCTATCACGCATGCACGAAGCATATCTTCAAGCGTTTGAATGGTTCGCTCGCTTTGACCATCGGTTTGTGGGTGGTAGGCAGTGCTCATGTCGAGTTGTGTTCCCATAGCTTTCTGAAGCGATTGCCAAAAGCGTGAGGTAAATCTACTATCTCGATCTGAGATGATAGATATTGGTATTCCATGGAGTCTCACAATTTCTTTGATGTATATTCTCGTCAATCGCTCCATCTTGTATGACTCCTTTATTGGCAGGAAATGAGCGGATTTTGTCAACCTGTCGACTATTACCCATATGGTATCCAATCCATCTGTTGTCTTGGGTAATTTGGTCACAAAGTTCATAGTAATCCTTTCCCATTTCCACTCGGGTATTACCGGTTGTTGTAATAATCCTGAGGGCTTCTGATATTCTACCTTCACTTTAGCACAAGTGAGGCACTTGCTAACGTAAGTGGCAATTTCTGCCTTCATGTTAGGCCACCAATACTGCTGCTTGATATCCAAGTACATTTTATCTGAACCCGGATGGATGGAGTATCGTGTCTTATAGGCTTCATTCATGACTACTTCTTTGAATCCCCCAAGTTTAGGGATCCAAATTCGGTTCATGAAGTAATATGCTCCGTCCTTCTTGACTTCAAAGTTCTTTTCCATTCCACGTAACGCTTCGCTTGTTCTGTTTTCTATCTTCATGGCATCGAACTGGGCTGCTTTGATTTGCGAGGACAGATGGGATTGAACGGTTATCGAAAGAGTCTTCACACGACGATTTGAGTACTCCTTTCGACTCAAGGCATCAGCTACCACGTTAGCTTTGCCTGGGTGGTACTTGATTTCGCACTCATAATCGTTTAGTAGCTCAACCCATCTTCGCTGCCTCATGTTTAACTCCTTTTGATTTAAAATGTGTTGGAGACTCTTGTGGTCAGTGAAAATGGTGCACTTGGTACCATAAAGGTAGTGCCTCCAAATTTTCAAGGCGAATACCACAACTCCCAATTCGAGATCATGGGTGGTATAATTCACCTCATGTGTCTTTAGTTGTCGGGATGCATAAGCTATCACCTTTCCACGCTGCATGAGTACACAGCCTAAACCCTGATTCGAAGCATCGCAGTAAACTACGAAGTCCTCAGTTCCCTCTGGTAGTGATAGTACTGGTGCACTACAAAGGGCTCGCTTCAGAGTCCGGAAAGCAAACTCCTGCTTTTATGTCCATTCAAATGGCACGCCCTTTTGTGTAAGCACGGTAAGTGGTTTGGCTGTTTTGGAGAAGTTCTGAATGAATCTCCTGTAATAGCCTGCGAGACCTAAAAATTGACGAATTTATGTGGGTGTCGTTGGGACCGCCCATCCTTCT